ACTATCCTGGAATTTATAATAAAAATGCTCTTTATTAAACTATTCGATACGTATTAAAATTTATATCATGATTGAAATTGGTTCTAAAAAGTCTGAACCCGTTTCTCGATCTATTCTGGATTTATTATAATTAATATACAAGCCGATCGAGCCGTTTTGCATCTCTAACCATTATACGTAACATAGTTAGATCGGTATGCGCTTATCTGTTATTTGTGAGTGATAGCCAATTAAATAATCTAAAAGCTTGATAATAACTTTTAATCCTCATTGTTATGTCCCCTTTCATCTTAAATGTATAATAAAAATTAAGAGATACATATACTGTATAATAATTAAAAACAATATGTATTGTTTTTCAAATACATACATTTTACCTCAATGAAATACAAGATATTACACGTTTTTTTTGCTAGAATAATCTCATATGCCTGCAACATTCAGACTATAACGCCGAAAAACTGCGAAATGATCTTTACTAATTTTAGATTAAATTTTAACCAATAATCGTTATTGCAGTTACGAGAACGACGCAAGAAATGAAATATCGATATATACATATTTAGTATTGATTTTAGATGCGTGCCCCTGCCTAATAAGGGGCATACCTTCCAATTGCACTTATCAAACTTCTCACAATAAAGACGTTATATAAAGGGTTTTTTTTTCGATGTCAAAATATTAACATCCTTTATTGCAAGTTCTTTATTTTTTTTCTCACAAATCTATTAATTTTTTTTCTTATAAATTAAGGATTTAAATTTCATCATGGCTGTTGCACAAGAACACTGGGTAGGTTTTTTAGAAGTATTCTTGTGATATAGATATTGCAATATTAACTATTTTTTCTTGAAATAGGCCGCTAAATGGCACAAGTATAATGGAAATATTCCTCATGATGCTTTTCGTGTAGGCCATTGTGCTATTGGTCGTGGAGACTATGAGGGTGGCAAGCATATTGGTTATATTGATCCAAATAGACAACGACTAGTTATTGGTTGGGGTGGACGTCAAGTTGAATTACATGAATTCGACATTTTATGTGGTGATCATTGTCAATTTAAATGGCATCCCTGGTAAATTTTTCTAACTGATAATTAAAGCAATAACAATAAGCAGCAATTCTAAGATAACATATTCGAATTTAGTCAGGGAGCTTGCCGACCTCAGTTCTTTATCCCTTTGAAAGCTGGCAACGAAAAAGTAAGGTTATTCCTTATTTTAAAATTTAATATATATATATTTATTTATTTATTTTCTTAATGTATTATTTATTTAAAAGGATGGTAAAGAATTATATATCGCTAAAGCCTGGCATTGTGATGAAGAGAGAGTCGGTAAAGCTGGTCAAGTAAGTTGTTTCCTCAGATTCTTATCATTATTATTATTATTATTTATTTTTTCTTTTATTTATTTTGTTTCTAATATTTATTTTTTAGCATCTGATTGATGGAATGTCATTTGCATATGACGGTCGAGAAGTTATTTGTGGTAGTTATGAAGTGTTAGGCTTTTTAAATTAAATTAATACTTAGCATATTTTCGTCATGAAAGATTTTTTTATGATTTAAAAAAAAGGGTTGCGGACTTTGTGATTATAAATTTATAGTATTGCAGGGAAAAAAAGAAGCAATTTAAAAAAATAAAGGGAATTTATTTTATAACGCTATATGTCACATTTATATTCCGCTTTCTACTAGTTGTGTTTATTAAATGACGCAAAAGCTTCTATTACTTTCAATGAAAATCAAAATCATGTGAAATAACTAATCTAATTACGATTAAGTAGTCTAATGATAACAATATTAAAAGTTTCTTATTTGAGCGCCAAATTTTAAAATAAAGTCATTAAAGCTTAAAACCTTCCAATATTTAATAGATAATGAATAGAGATGGGCAAATCTAGTGATCGTACCCGGATGACTCTTTATCCGAAAGGGTATAGCCTTTAATAAAATCTAATAACCGGTTTTATATCCTATTGAAGTAAAAGGACTAGTGTTCGAAAACGGATTAAAAATCCCGGTTGATCCGGGATTGATCCGAATCCGATTCGAATCCGTAATTCGGAAGCATAGCGGGCTTTCATTCTGATTGGATGATCGACCGGAATGTTACACAATATGAAAGACATATTGCGTAACGTTT